TGGATAACATTTCCCAGTACAACACCGACCCAATTTGCAGCACCCCTAGACACCTGCCCCCATTCTTGCTGGCTTGTTGCCCACGTTTCACCCTCCTGTCCCTACATCGTCGACATCGAAAATCACCCATCCACATTCTGAAGTGCCCCTCGTACACGACCTCATTGAAATTCGTCTGGACAGGGTTGAATCGGTAGATTATCGGGGTATATTTCACGCATCAAACATTCCGACCCGAAGATAGAAAACATACGTTACAGACGCAATCAGAATCCCAAATCGGGTTCACGACGTGAAAACTGAGATTTGACGGTATGGTACTACATATCGTGATGGAATAACAAGAAGTATCGGACTGGCTCCACAAATTTCATCGCTACTTCAATCAGGAATATATTTTTTTCACGGCTATAACACATGATTGCTCTTGTTTTACTGTGTTCGATAAATCAACTTTGTATGTCAACAATATTATTTCTGTATCTGATATCACTATAATTCTATTGTTTCAGCATCTCAAACAATCTCATCTCCTATACAATGTCAAATTTCAAGCTTTGACAAAAAATCAGATAGCTTCTACAAGCCGAAGAAATAAAACATATTGCAGTTTTCTCCCAATTAACACAGATTGATTCCTTTGATATAACCAGGTGTCCCAGTATACCTGTTCCAATGAATTATCTCAGCCATTTCGAAAAATAAAAATTCGAAAATTCCATGATCTCCAATTGGTTCAAGGAAGCTTCAACTGAGACAAACAAAAATTCAAAGTCACTTCCGGTTTGAACGGAAGTGACTATAACTTTTTTATTTCAAATAGCACCCTGTATATTTTTTGCAATTTTTGAATTCTTCTCAAAATTACCGTTCCAACGATGTATCACACTTTGTATTTTAAATTTGATTTGATTGAGAAAACGACAATTGAAATTTCAAATTGAAGGAATTGCAGTAGGCTATGATATTTTTGTAATCTTGATTTTGATTTTAATAATAATTTCAAATTATTAGAATTGTAGTAGATCATGTAATTTTCAAATTTTCATCTTTCGAAATGGCTGTAATCTATTGGAACAGGTATACTGGGACACCCGGTATATAGGAGGTCATCACATACAAGTCACCCATCACATTCGTGACTCGAAATGAGAGTACCACTGAAATCACAATGGCTGCTATTCAAGACCCTATTGGTCATTTTATGATTCACATGATGCCAAATGAAACTCACAGTACGTATCAAGCGACGCCTCATTCAACATCAAAATTGATTGATTCCGTTTGTTACATAAATAGATAGATATATAGATGGATAGACAGATACATTTATTTCTCAGAATCGGAAGAACAGTGGTGTCAATATTACATTATAATATAACAAAAGGTATTTCCGATTATCTAGCGTGAACCATCGAGAAAGTCGAGCACGGTAGGTACATAAACATCAAATTTTATGTGATATCTAATTCTGAATTATGATAGAAGTATTCTTCTAAATGATAGTAAACATTTTCATGCAAAAATTTTTTCAACCTCGCTTTGAATCTCAGATTATTTAAAGATTTCATACTAGAGGGTAAGTGGTTATCATACCAAGGAAAGGTTTGTTAATCACCTTAACTTTGATTTCTGAATACAGTGGTCCATATTCGTGGATCTATTGAAGTTATTTTGGCAAAATATAGTTTTGATTTCTAGTTGTCAGAATTAATCTCTCATTATAATTACTGCTTTTTATGCTTCTTGGGCGTGAAATAGTCTAACAAAATACCAATATTTTCTGTATATCTTCTCATAATTCTGTTTTCCATTGTAAACTCAATTGTGTTGCCGTACAATACCACTCATCCTAACGGACTCGTGGTGTTGCTTGGCAACACAATTTCGTGAACAATGAAGCGACAAAATTATCTCGAATATTCAGAACATCGTAATTATGACAATCTACCGTTAATTGGACATCAGTTGTTCAGGTACCTATATGACTAAATCAAGAAGTCATTCGGACGTCACTGGACTGCCTGATGTTGAATAATCACAATGAGATACTGTATATCATTATCTTGAAACCTCGCCTGAGACCGATAATCAAAGCTGGCAAAGTTAGGTTTGAAAATTGCTCGATAAACTCTCGAAATATTGAAATCGTCGAGATATTGAAATCGTCTTTATCGCGATATCATTGCCTCATATTATTGTATACAGTGACTCTAAGCAAGCATCGATAACAAATAAAAAGCCGTCAGATTATTTTTTGATGAAGACAATTTCTGTTCTTCGATGGTGTCGAATGTAACGAGAATGATTTGTATCTATATGGATTTGAAAATATATGTTTTTTTGGAAACGAGGATAATTATGAGATATTGAAGAAGATATTAAATATTCATTGATTTTATTATATTTGAATGATCAGTTCATGCTTCACTCAGTATTTCAAATTGTATGCTCCTGATCCATCGCTATTACAAGGTTTCTATGAATGATCGTCGTTGGAATAGTGCCGCTCTGTGCTTATGTTGTCTACAGGCTTTGAAGCGACCGAACGTATTCGTAAAGTTCGATCCCCATTAAGTGGAAATCACCAAATCAATAAAATATTTCAACGGTTTCTACGACCATCACTTGTATTGTATTGTGCCTATTTTCACTTAGAGAGGACAAGAGGAATTCAAGCGTGTCACTGTCGTATGGGAATCTGTTATATATCGAGCATCGGGATGTTTGTTATTTTGTGTCCACTTCCTCCAATAATTATTACTAATAATGCACCTATTTTTCTGTTCTCTATAAGATAGTGCACCCTGTATAACATGCATGTGAAGATTCCACGACTAATAGGCAGCATAATGTGAAAAATCATGTTATAACATCAATATCCGACAGTTTTCAACGATGCAGACATCTACACAATGGCATAATAGAATGATTAAAGAATGATGTGTCATCATTCCTCCAAATAATTATCAGATTGAGATTATTCCTCATATTCCACAAAATTATTTTCGGATTGAGATGAATCGTAATATCATTCTCCTGTTTTGTTCTTAGAAGATCTTCAATGAAGTAATTTACTTGAGCAAACCTGATCAAAACCATGTTCAGTGATATATTTGTTTTAACGAGATTTCCGTGATTCAATTCATTTTGCCTCCCTATGGAGAAGCTTCCTTCGCAAATATCTAACCACTTATATTTGTCAGCTCAACTGCTACTCCTCAGTCGCGATTATCTGACGTTCCAAGAACAATAACTTTATTCAATTAACTCGAATGAATTTGCGAGATACATTATCTGCTCACTCAGCTATCAGAGGTATTTGATGTCTGCAATGAATAAAGGAGTGTCAGAGATGTACTCGGGTAGTAATTTATCAAGAACTCAATTCATGAACATTTACCTACCAATTGAGAAACTGTGAGCATTGGAGTGGATTTGTGAACTCGACGTAATGAACGGTTTTTCTTCAAATCGAGCATAGGAAAATGCAGGGGCAGAGAGATTTGTGAAAATAGTATTATTGGATTTCCGCATAACACAGATATGTATAACAGTTCAGTATTAATTGTTATAAAATCATATTAGTTCATAATTTTCATTGATATTCTGATGGAATTGAATCAGGGCAACATTTGGAATTGCAAATATAACATTACACTCGGTCAATAATTCAGAAGTATTTGATGATACAGTTTTATGAATCAAAATCATATAACAGATTGCTGTGACATTGCTGGAACGTTACATTTATAAATTTTTGCATTCGCAAAATTGCTAAACGTCAGTTTCAGTAATTGCTACTACCTTGCATCAACATTGCTTTCAACTTTGCATAGTTTTATACACGTGAACTAAGAAATTGTTATCCGGTGATATTCTTCAAATAAACTTCGTTGAAGATCTTGCGAATTGAACAGACATTTTCCGTCCTAATTTCCTTGATAATTATATTTGATATCCATCCACTGGAATTCATCAATGATGAGATGAAAAAATCGAGAGCTTTGACTGAAAACAAATTTGGTTTCAAGTACCAACCTGTATAGAAGAATTTGCAGCACATATGATTTCATACTGAATATTTTACTCTATCCACACCAAGCCGTTAATTATATTTCCGCTTCAATCAGACTAACCATATTTACGGAAGTCATGTGTGATATCCAATTTCGCGAGACTAATCAAATGGCGCTTTTTAGCGTTACAAAATGGTCATCAAATCAGGATAACGACGCTTCAAATGATTTCGATAGTGCAGTGTCACAATTGCTTTTGGGATATACATAATGATAATGAGAAGAGCTAGGTACTTTTTTTCATGTGGCTATAGCACAATCCTGTACAAATATCAACAAAACAACACTAGATGAATTCCTGGAACAAAAAGTAGTTCGATATATACCTTCAGGATGAATTGCACTGGTGATTCAATTTGTAATCGCATAATATATTATTATGATGATAGTAGATTGTTCTATTAGGATCAAAAGACACTGGCTCGGCTTCGCTAGACGCTCCGCCTCGCAAATGCAAAATTTGCGAGTCAAACAAAGTTACTTTTGATCCGAATGAAACATGCTATTTTTTCTGCAACCGAAAGAATTAACTGAAATTAATATGTGAAGTAACCACCAATGCCGTGCCATATGTATGCAATGCAACAAATAATCCGTGTGGTGAGAATCTTCTACCTGCATTAACAGATCAGGTTTATTCAATTATATGTTGTTGGGAATACTTCCTCAGGCAATGAATTCCAGAGCCTAGCCGTTCTATGGAGGAAGGAGTTTTGATAAAGTGCTGTTAGACATCTTTCGAGGTTGACAACGAAAGGATGTGCTGACTGGGCTTGTCTAGTTCGTCTGACTGGTATTGATAGTGAAGGGATGATAGCAGAGATTTCCGATGAACAATTCTCTTAATAATTTCGACCTCAAACCGTCAATAATAACTGAAGCACTATGAGATCAAGTACTCTCCCTATATGTTAATATCACGAGATATCGAGGTGACTTTATTTGAACAGAGACATTCCAATATTTTAACTACAAAGTCAGTGCTGTTGCCCCAGGGTTACCGTAGTAGTTACCTCTGGCCCTGAAAAATGAAAAAAATTGTAATAAGATGTTCTGAAAACGCAATTATTCTGATGGAAAAATGTTGACTGTGAAATTCTCAGATCCCGAAATACGTATTCACACAATTGAGACATTTTCAATTTTCGAATTACGTATTTGGGCTTTACCATTGACTATACAGAGTGTCCTAAAAGAAGCCTGCTATACTCCACCAATGGCTTTCACGACCAAGAATAGGAACAAAAGTGTCCTTGAACATAAAACGATTTTTGAAAGAAAGCACCTGAAGATGATATTTCTTGAATATTTCCGAAACACCATATGTGATTGAATGATGCAATTCCGTAAGAGAACCATACTTTCCATGCCGATTTCGATGAAAATTTAATCCTTTCAAAATTTTATTTAGGAGTTCATAATACAGGGTGGCGTACATTAAATATTGCTAACATTTTTTTGTAGGCATATTTTTCGACAATTCAATCTCGGTGTATGCAAAACTCTTCACAGAAAAAAAGGTGCTCTTGATCCATAAGGATCAGATGTATCTTCCTCGAGTGAAATCGATTTAAGTTCTTTGTTACATCTCACGTATTATATATGCATAATATTGTTGGATATGGAAAACAAATCACAAAAACTGAAGTAGTTTTTCATCATCATTTCCCAATTTCACGCACCTTCATAAAATTCATTGTCTTATGCATACAATATTTTTAAATCAATTCCACTCGCGAATGGTACATCTGATCAATAACAAACGAGAGCACCTTTTATTTGTGCATTTTCTTAAACCGAGATTGAATTGTGGAAGAATATGCGTACAAAAAAGTTCGAGCAATATTTATTTTAGTCCCACACTACATTATACACTCCTGAAAAAAAAATCTGGCATGAATCCATTCCACCCCTTCAGGGGGCCGTAGAGCTTCCTCAAGAGATATTTATCGACTCATGTTCATTAGTACGTTTCCTCCTATTTTTGGTAGAAGTCGCTGGTGAAGTTTGGCAGGCTGATTTCGGGACACCCATACATATAAGTGTATATTCAATAGCTTCACTAAATATTGATGTGGTGTCTTGGGTAAATCTTTTGTATTCATAAAAAAACTTTTTCGACAAAACATCAGTGAGTGCTCATCTATACTAATTTGGAAAATTGGTCGATTCCAAAATTGTGAGGATATGAATTTGTCGATTCTATTGAAGGCCGATATCCTCACTTCTGAACCATCAACAATTGGATAACCACATACGGTTAGTTTGATTTGAAATGACCCTTCTCCCACCCTACTTCTTTTGATCCTCGACTTATGGAGGGTGTTCCATAGTGGACGCCCCAAGATGAAGAGATTCAATAAACAACGTGAGGTTTTCCAAACTCAGACGCCCCTTTGGTGGCAGATTAACTTCTTCTTGACATCCTTCCTCGATATAAAATTGAAGGATCTGGTGAGTACAATACAATGAAATACGTTGCACATTCAACACTTGATATGGTAGATACCTCATTATGGTGGATTACCATCCCCTCCAAAGATATAATAGTCAGATAGAATAGTTTGATGAGAAGAATACGATGAACTGATGGGGATCGTCAACCCAAGAGTGATATGGCGGATGCCTAATGATGACCGATTTCACAACCACAATGAAATGGGATATATCATCAGGTGGAAGGATTATATGAGTGGAAGGTGATGAGCTTCGTGATGTCATTGTAAATCCAATATTGCAGTCGTCTCTCATGTGCCAGATGCCCTTATAGAAGGCGAAATTCCTGGTCCACCAAAGGATACTCATGGATGGTTATGGGAAATATAATATTTCAGTGAGTCTAGCGATTCCGATGAAATGGGTTGGCTGACTTCAGGACTTGGTTAGATTTCATATGGAATTTCTATCACAATTAGAAGTTATTCATGTTTATATAAATTATATTCTACTTCATGTGAGATCAGTATCAATACCAATTAATTTGATGGTCAATAACTTACATAGGATTCATATCTTCTCCCAAATATGTTATATCGTTTCCTCTGCAATTTCCTTCGACAAAATCCTCATAACTATCGCACTGAGTAATTGGGTACGATTTGGGATTTATGAGACTCATAATATATAGACGATCTGCTTGTCTGTGATTACAGAACACTGAAACACAATAATTCGAATATGTTGAAATATATATATCATGGATTTCTTCTGAAGAATAATTCAGCAAAACCCGGAATTGGTTCGCGATATAATTATGACTTTCAATGTATACTAGAACGTGGCCAGGTAGAGCCGTGCGGACAGAGTGTCTATATTCTAATTCGCATTCGCTTGCCGGTCGTGGGTTCGATTCCCATCGACTGCAGAAATTTTTCTGATGGCCCAAGAAAGTGTTTGGTATCACACGTTGAAAGGTAAGGCCCCCGTCATTCCTTGCTCGCACAAGACTTTCGAAGACTTCTGAGGGTTGCTCGTAAGGGGGCAACCGAATGACGGATAGAACAATTTTAGAACGTAAATTGTGATATAAGGAGCCCGTTGTAATATGTTTGGAAATACTCCGAAGTTGTCTACACACAAAATTCAAGGGGCCATATTTCAAATGTATGAATTGAGGTGAACATTATAATGCGTTCCATTCGTTAAAGAAAACAACATACGTTTATAGATCGCAATATGGAGACGTTTAAATCGAAATATGAACAGGAAATACTTATCATACAATTTTGGTATGTTAACTCACTTCTCAGTGAGTATTTATTCCATCTAGCATCGTATGTCATACAAAAATTCGGAATTAAATGCGATATCCATCCTAGATATCGTTCACAAGTACGAAATATACTAGGTGCAGTATGTTTGTTCTTCAATGGTATCCTACTTTGCACAATTAAAGAACGCGTCAGCGCGTTCAAATCCAACTTTCAGAAACTGGCGTTTTTTAATAGAGTTACCACGGCAACAAACGGCAACATCAACGACCCGAGAAACTTGACCTCTGAAAATGTCAACATTTCAATTATCGATCTGACAAGAGTACCATGTAACATCAAATAATATATCACTAACGAATGTTCAATCATTAGTTTAGTAATCTCTGGTAGAAGTCCAAAGTGGGGTGTAGTTGTAATAACTGAGGAAGACTCAAAATCATCTCCACAACAGTTTACTATGTGAACAATGTCACATCAGGGGAAATATGTTTTCGGACATACATATGCCCATCATCAGCCTTTTAGTTAGTTCAATTATTCTTTCCCTATTTATGAATACAAATTGTACCAATATAGAAAAGGAAGCGTGACGTATTCGTGGATAATTGGTATTTCAAACACTTTCAAATACTATTTCCAGCACTCCGACTCGATGAATCGCGCGTGTTTGAAACAATATCCACTTATATACTTTGATACATTATTCCCTCATCAGTATGGAAGGTATTTGGAAGAAAATGGTGAAACGTTGTTACATTCAGCGGAAGGTAGAAGTTCGCGGTACCTGATTCAGTAGTAGTGATGATAAAGTAGAGTGACAATTTTGCCTTGCTTCATCATCTCATCAACTTGAGTCTGTTGAGTTCAATGAACAAGCTCAGTCTTCCTTCTCAAGGATTACAATTTTGTTGCCAGTGTATTTCGTTCTTGTAACGTCAGCTTCATATATGAATGAATTGCCCTATAATCTTTCATATGTTTTTTCCAGGTAAGACGTTTGAACTGATACCGGAGGAAATATTGAGAAACATCAAGTAAGTTCTTCGCACGATATTTATCCATAACATTCTCGATATGAAATGTTGAAACATTGTCGATCTGAATGAAAACCTAGTAGGCGACCTAGTGCGAGGAGGCTAGGTTGTCATCTAGAACGACAATGGTTGAAGAATCATTGATATACTGGGTGACCTGGAAGCGATTTATCCCCTAGTATATTCGTTGTTATTTCGGATTGATGTTTCAAATTTGGTACATTGATTTGATTACATGAGTGTATAATGTCGCTAGTATCAGACGAAATATGTCATTTCCAATTTTTTCATTTCAAATACAAAGTTTTTTTTCTGGAAATTATGACCCAGGATTAAATTACCTGTTCAACGATTCATCACAATCATGAATTCAATCTACAATCCACTCATACAATTGAGATTCTATAAGAAAATACTTGTATTCCCCTCGTAACTTGTAGGAGAATTATTGAATTGGATATTTTGTTGAGTCAGATTCCGCAGTTTCAATAAAGATTTTAGACCCATGGAAGACATTCAATATCGTAGCCAACTAATATGAAGTTATAGCATGAAGATTATCTTCCAACTAAATAGAAAATAGGAAATTGTTGAAAAATGAAGAAACACTAAAATGATTGTAAAAAATAGTTAGTGTGCATACAAATTATTGTGTGAGAGTTTTCACATCAAATCATTGTTACTTACATGCTCTTGTTGCCGAGCTTGTTCCTTTATCCATGACAGACTCGAAAATATTCCATTACGAAATTTTTTTTTTTTGTAAAATCTTAATTATATGACTAGATTGTGAATTGAAAATATGATTGTGATATATCGCTAGAAAGGTTATTTCATACTGAATCGTAATATCTAGAAAAAATTTATACTTTCAATTTGAAATGAAAAAATGGATGCACTTCCGGTCAATCCGGAAGTGTCATGTTTCGTCTGATTCTAGCAAAATCATACACTCGTGCGAACAAATCGATTTCCCAAATTTTAATCATCCATTTGGAACAGCAACGAAGCGATACAGGGAGATAAATTGATTACTTTATATTACTTTTCTGATTTCTGTATGACTCATACATATTATATTTTCGGAAGCTTGTTCAATATAAAACGACGGATTCAATCGTCATCCTCTCAGAATAATTGAATGATGTCGATTCATATCTAGGGTTTCCAGAATATTCACCAATAAAATACTATTTTTCGCAATTCTGAAAAGAGTCTTCCATCATCTATCCAGTTGACAAATGTATTCAATCAGAGGTCGCTGTTTCGAATTCTTCATAGATCTGTGAGAATTTCAAGAAAACAGAATTATTGAAATATTTCTGAATTATTACATCAAAACCTGTAAACACAAATTAATTCCCATACCTAGTCGCAATTCACAAATTCTGGAAGAACTCTGAAACCAAACTATCATGTATAGACGTTCGAATTGACAAGGAATTCTCCATGATGAGAACCATTTATAACTCATAATTGAGACACTTGACTTCATCAAGTCTAAATGGGACTTACTCTTCGTACTTGAGTTCTATTCTTCCTTGAGATCAAGATATATAGATTGTTTATCGAATCGTTACATATATGAGTATTAATTAAGAAAGGATTGCATTTGGCAAGGGAGAGCTACACTCACTGTAGAATGCATAACGAATTCCAGATGACATCCTGTTGAATATTCCAGCAGAGACTTTCAGAGATGTACGATAGCCAAATCAGGCTCATGCTATGTTGCATTTATGCACCATGCTCCATATATTATGATTCGGTAAATAATCTCTATAGCCGAGATTTCTCGTTTATTCAGGACTTTAGACTTGGCCTGCATGTCCCTCTAGCTTCGGCTCGAATACTAGGACTTTTGAGTCCAAATTAAAAGTCCTGCTGTTACAATGTCACTTAATACACCTCATCTTAGTTCGAATTCTATATCTGGCTCACGTTAAGGAATTGAGGTCGGTCTGTGCCCCAAGTTGGAATATATTTCTCTAATTATTCTCAAATATATTCACACGAAATACAAATTTCTGTATTCGATTGATCAAACACTAACTTGTTGATTTTGAGAAAAGTATACATTTGTCATATGTGATTCTTCTATATCGTGTGTTTTAACTGTTTCTCGATTTGCGATATATTATTGTTACTTACATATCTCAGACAACGTATGAGTTCTACGCCAACTCTCACTTATCGAACATCCAGGTTGTTTCTTGCCACCGTTTATCCAAATGTCAACTGAACCCAAGTTCTCATCGAGACCAAATCCTCCAGCATTTGTGTGAACAATATCAACAAAAACGCCAGAATTCTGTCCGATTCTCTCATTTTCCGGCACTGATTCAAAAAGTTGGCGAGCTGGATCCAGACCTTATAAAATAGAAATTAAAAAGTAATTACTACCTGCGAACTTGTCATTGTCGATCAGCCTTCCAATAATTAGGGGCTGTCATTGAAATTTTGTTTCTCTAGATGTTGAAAATGTTCAGGCAGATGTTATGATGAAATGTTATATTGAATTTGTTTACTATCATCATCCAAAATTAAAAAGCATTGCCACTTCGACCTCATTCAAACCATTTGAGTTTCCCTATATCCAATTCATTTCAGAATAACTATATTGAATGAATTATTGTGCCTTCTTGTGCTGCAGTCCAGTTGCAATTGCGTGATGATTCGATCTATATGACAAACAGCCAAAGTAAGAACGCTCTCCTTCTATATCGAGGAAAGCAGCTAGCGCAAATTTCGTATGATCCCAGGAATGTCTGATCTTTCCAACAAGATATTTTAGTGCTAAATCGGTAGATGTGCCTGTTTGGTTGGCATATTGATAGGAACTCAGGTGATGGTCTCTCAAATTTTTTTCTTGATATGCCTGTCTAGAATTCTTTCTAGAGATTTCAATGGGAACCAGTTGAGGCTGATCGGTCGAAAGGAATTGGGTAGGAATTGATTTACCGTACCTGCTCTCAACGTGTGAAAAAGTCCATACTGGTCAAAGTGGAGTAGTAAGGTGTTTGAGAGATTTAGAGAATTGACTCTCCCTTCGTACCTGTTCTATGTATATACACAACCCTCACTTTTGACCAGCCCAGCGGAATATAGCTCTACGCTTATCTCGCTAGTAATAATTTGACCAGGAGAGGTAGAAGAAGTTATCTATCCTTTGTAAGAGGACATGAAGAACTCCATCTCCCTCAGGGACTTGACTGTGGAGATATAACTCACCATCCGTTTCACTGACTTTGGAGTGACCACCTTGGGGCTTTCTTCAAGCTCTCCTTTGTTTGACGTATTTTCGATCCCATTGATGGAAGCGGGATCTGCTGCTGGTCCACCAGAAGCAGACTGCCGGGAAAATGCGAGTATGTATAAAAGAAACTCCAACGTTTACCTACTAGAGCAGTAAAAGAGCCATCTGTTTATTTTATCGAGCCGATCTCTTGGGTCGGATTTTTTGCAACAGCCTTGTGAAATATCATGCTGGCAGGTACACATCTGATATACTCTGATAGAGTGATAGAACCTCCGCCAAGATTCTCTTTTGGCTTTCTTTATCTCTTTATTATAAGCCTCCAGGAGTCTGCTGGTTCACTGACAGCCTCATATAATTGAGGCTAGCAGAGGAAACATTTGCCAGAAGTATGTGACCAGTCAAAAACTTTGATATCACCTTCGAATGCCAGTGTGGTACAATGACAAATTATAAATAGAGAATATTCGATTTTGTTTCAATGAATTAACATTCTTGTCCCAATAATATATTCACCAGTAGAAAGACCCATAATAGTTATCTTAACTGTACAGAGTATTCCAAATGGTCAGATACATATCGAAATAGGTGAAACCTCAACTACCGTTACTTGTAAGTGACCAACGAAGAAATCTTCTCGAATTGTACACGAAACTTTGAAATGCTATTCAATTCCGTACATAGAAGACATCATTTTTGAACTTTGAAGGAAGCACCGTTTGAAAAAAAGTAAAAAACGATACATATCGAAATAAATGAAACCTCAACTACCGTTACTTGAAAGTGACCAACGAAGAAATCTTCTCGAATTGTATACGAAACTTTGCAATGCTATTCAATTCCGTACAAAGAAGACATCATTTTTGAACTTTGAAGGAAGCACCGTTTGAAAAAAACTAAAAAACGAGAAAATCACGAGACCACACTCTTAATTTTTATTTAAATGCTGAATAATCCATTCAAGGAATCTGTTCTGATTACTGAATAACCAGTGGACGAAAAAATGAGTTCTGCATATTTTCAAGTTTTGAAGATAAGTATGCTTCCTTTTTGCCGCATGGATCGGAAATCACAACATTCTGAATCAGAATCAGAAAAACCTAAAGAGGTAGTTTATGTTGTTGTTCCTGATTTTCCATGCGTCATACTGTATGTTGTGTTGCACTAGGTACTAATTTCGCATAAAAATGTTATTTTCGATATTTACCTGTTACTCTCGAAACTTTGCCACTAGTCAAAAGTTGTCCTGCTATTCCAACAACATGAGCACCTAAACTCATCCCAATTAAATGCGTTGCCGAAAGTTTAAGCCCTCTGGTGACTAGAAAATCTATGAATTTCGCAGTAAATTGTCCAACAGGGAGAACATTCCTGGCTGCTGTCGGATATGATATTCCAGCAAATAATCTCTCAGTATTCACTAGGATTACATTGTAGTTCCCAAGCTGCAGATATCCTGGAAAATTAATCCCGATGATATTTATATATATTTATATATATATATACATTATTGTATTCCAGAAGTTTCAGATCCAATATATGGTTACGATTATATCAACTCATTGCGCAACAATTCAGATTGATCAGAGTAGGATGAGGAACTTGGTCCTGATATAGATATAGATATTCACATCGTTGTAGGTAGTTACGATGTCATCACCCTATGTATACATATAATAATGTAGGTGAATGAAGTTCGTTGAGTTTTTATTAGGATCACATAGGTAATATGTATAAGATGCTTTTGCATTTGCATAGTCTCTAAAAGACATAATTTGATTTCTACAAAACATATGTATTTAAAAAAATGTCCCAAGATAAGTTTGTGGAAACTTCACAATGAGTGACAATATGATATAAATATCGTGAACCCATGATAATTTGTACCCATTACATTATTTCTCACACTTTTTCGACCTACTTATGAATAAAATACCTAATTATGTACGCGAACGACTCTTATCTTGTTGTCACTTGGTGATTTTTTCATATTTCCCAACAATCATCATATGCAAACATATTAAATCGAATTCGCAATATATTTCAACTTACTCTCTTTGATTTGGAATGCATCATCAGCATTAGAGGATTCCAGGAAACCGTGAACAAATATCTTAGTCGGTAGTGAAAAATCTATGTTCGAGGATACCACAGAACTGTCATTGTCTATTGAAAGAATTTGAGGTGTTGAAGGATTTGCACTGAAAAAAAATTCAAAATGGAAAATGTATTTGTACATAGGTATGTATGCCTTTGAGAATAATTTCGTGAATTTATTTCCGGAGCATACATTCACTCTATGAACTCAAAGGAATAATGGAGATGACCATCTTTGATTTCCCAATATATCAACTGATAGATGGTGCTTAGTACACAATGATTGAATATATAGCAAGTATGGATTGTGATAATTTCTATGCAGATATCGAATATTCTTCATCAAAGTATATCAATATCTACAAAACATTGCATTCAATTCATATTTATATCAAACTCTCATACTAACTTCATACTCCACCTAAGGAGTGAATATTGATTTGATTTGATAGTAAATCAATATTATAAGATCGAACTTGATAGGCAAGTACCTTGTGGTCTACTAACCAAGAGCACACCCAATGCGCGAATCTCGCACTGGAAGACATATTCATCAACAATAAATATATACCTATATACTCAGAATCTCCCAAATGACCTGTGTATTATCAGTTTTGAAACAGATCATGCAAATTCTAAGATTCAATCGTCTTTGACTTTGAATGCTCGATTTTATTTGGAAAAATGAACCAGAAAGCAGGCTGTGAGTGAGGTGATAAATAACATAGAATACTAGTTCATTCAACCAATTCAACTCCTGATGCTAGTGAACTATTGGTAGTTTCAAGTGAAGAATATATCTCGCATTCGCGAACAAAATATACATATCCCGCCATGAAGTTCTACCTGCAAATATTGGAGCTCGAAGCAATAGACGAGAAGGTATATGAAGGTCCTATAGTCATAATCAGCAATTTTGTGTGTTCATCTGATAGTCTCACAATCATTTCAGAGGTTATGAAGAGATATCATAGACTAGGCTCCATCTATGCTGAATGTGATGAATGAGTCAACATTTTCAGTTATGACACGGAAATTCTTGAGATGATGAAAAATAAACAATGAATCAACTTCTGACTGCTTCATATGGAATTTGCTGAAATCAAATGAGTTATTCCATACCTGTGGATCACGGTATGCTATTAGAAAAATTGCATGGTTATGGTATTCGAGTACCAACATTTATGATATTGCAAAACTATCTATCACATAGGACACAGAGGGTGAAGATTGATAATTATTTGAGTGAAGCAATGGAGGTTAAAACAGGAGTACCACAAGGCACAGTTTTGGGACCTATATTGTTTCTTGTTTATATCAACAGCATCAGCTTCATGAATAATTTTGAAGGACATAATATTATCTCATACGCAGATGATACAGCAGTTGTATTCACAGGTAAAAGTTGGTTCGAAGTTTTTGAAAAGTCAGAGGAGGGATTAAAGGATATCCAAATGTGGCTCAACTTTAATCTTTCGAGCTTGAATGTCAATAAAACAAAATTTGTCACATTCTCTTTACTGAAAAGTGAACAACCAGAGCAAAACAAAATCCATATTCATGAAGACTGTTCCACTCTAACAAGTTGCGATTGTGCTGTCATAGAGAAAACAGAAAATATCAAGTATCTAGGCGTGATTGTGGACCAGCATTTGAGGTGGGATGAACATGCAAGTTATGTTATGAAAAGACTCAGACAGTTGATCAGAAAGTGTTACGAATTGAGAGATATCCTAGATAAAAAAAATTTTATCACAGTATACACATCCCTAGTCGAATCAGTGATAAGGTACTGTATCTCAGCCTGGGTTGGACTTTCCAACAATTCCTTGAACCCACTCCAAACAACTCAAAATACAATTTTGAAAATTCATCAATAAATTTGAACAAACAATCAAAAACGTCATTAGGCTCAATTATGAAAGGTTCAATATATTTAATTGAACGTAGCTGCATGCATGTGCATATGTGTGTATGTGAGGGAGGGTGTGTATGTGTGTTTAAGGTATATAATAAATACCAAAGTACTAAAATTAGTTGAAGTTACAGGATGTTTAGCCAATTCTCATTGTTATCTCTTTCATTAGTTTTCTCTTTGGTGTAAATTGTGGGGTGACTTGGGTGTCATTTTTCATTTTGCAAAAATCTCCTAATTTCGTTCATGTGTTAATCACGTAGGCAACTTTCGAATGCCTTTAGTGGGGGATGGAGAGCACAACACAAGCAAATGGATTGCTTAGGTGCATTCCTCTCTCCACAAAGGGTTGTATAGTGAACAATGTAATATGGAATGATTTTGTATAATATTACTGAGAATAAACTTGATATACCGAATAGTCCGCGATACGGACCATACCTCAAACAACTGATCTTGGGATATTTGGAACATTTGGGGACAGCGCATCCTTGAATTGCACTTCATCGGCCGTTAGATGAGAACAATGAATCACGCGAAATTCTTTCAACTAAAATTGTCCTCTTGGGAGCTGTCAAAATATTAAAAGGAAACATATTGAAAGTGCTTCAACATGGAAATTTCAGGAAACGTTGAAAAACAACAGACCACCAAATATCAGACGAGAAACAATACATATCAACGTTTTGTTACTGGTCCAAATAACCATAATCTAATGTTGAAAACTGACGATTCAATCAAGTTGAAGTTGATGAAATAAGTTCACTTTGGATCAATTTGCGATCGTAAAATTCACGATTTTTCGAACTTTTCTTGTTCATTTCACAATTATTTTTTTATGATTTGTATCAATCAATCGATATCATAACTTACTAACCTGATATGTTGTCAATGTATTCAATTTCCTCAGCTGTTCCACTTTCTTCTCAGTGAGGTGCCTATCTATACGTATTCCTGTTCAAATTTGCTCGGATACTCGAATTTGTACCTTAACTATTGGTGTGAGCGTCGGCGAGATATAAAAGAATTGAATTCTTGCACGTTGTCTTAGTTGTTCTAAATCGTATAATCCAGGTTCATTTTTTAGCAGCGGTTAGCAAATACTTTGGAGGAAAGTTAATATCAAGAGTTCAACTTTGAGTAAAATGAACGTTAGTTCACCGTGAGGACATTGCCGGATCGATGAACAGTTATTTATTATACAAGGGAAATAAGTAGAAGATTTTAGCTTCAGGTTGTGTTGTCTCCCGACGCGTAGCGGAGGGAGACAAAAAACCGTGAGCTCCAATCTAATATTTTTCCCGTGTATAATACACTATTTTTATCTGTGACGGGAGAAAGGACGAATCAATATTGAGAAGATATTACATTATTTTGAAATCTGACAATTATCGACATGAAATTTTAAGTTTTGAACAGTAGGGACATCTGCGTTGTAGGCATCTTCATCATTCTTTTGAAGTAATCAAATATCTGATGTCACTTCTGTCAGTGTGATTCTGTGATTTGATTTCAAAAAATTGCGAATTCAGTGGTTGTTTAGTAATATACGTAACCGTGAAGTCGAATGGGAGATAAATGGACTTGCAGTTCTTTCTCGGAGACGGTATCATTGACTAATTTTTCGAAACTATAGCACAACAACAGCCATCAAGAGTGTATATATATGTTATATATATCCGGGAAAAAAGTACTCACTCTTTTCCCACGGGAGAAAAGTAATTTATGAGAAGTGACATTTTATAACCTGCCAACAGAGATGAAATGGCAAAGTTTTTTCCCGTCACAGAAAAATAAATATTAGTCAAACACGCCACACAGGTTCAAAGACGTTGATCGCGATGGAACAAATCGAAAAGGCAGCTCAAGAAGCTGGAGGTTACTTATCACCAATAAAATCTGGAGAACAATATAAAAAACACTTATCTGAGTTTATCAAATGGTGCAAAAAACGGAACGTAGAAGAATGTACAGAAGACAATGTACTGCTAGCATCTTTCTTGGAAAAGTCAAAAAAGCTTGAAGTATCGTCATTGTGGAGGGTATATTCGATGATAAAAGCCACAATTCTAACAGACATTTTGAAAAAACATTTCTGAACTCAGCTCCTAATGCAAATGAATTCACTTCGAATCCCTAGGGATTTGAAGTACCACTTTCTTCCCCGAAAATAGGGAAAGAAGGTACTCTTTAAATCCCTGAAATACATAAATATATAATATTTCGCTCATTGTAATTGACTAGGAGTGAAGCAACTTATATGTCTCCTGTCTCGTGAACCCAAAATGGATATACCAATTAGTTTCGAAACTGATTGCACTAAGAGATATTGAACATAATTTATTCAGATTTCCACCAAGTAACAATGGATATCATACTAATTGGAAACTGATTTGTACGCAATAAGCAATAGAGCTGAACAGAAATGAATTCTCATGTACAGGGTAAGCCAAATTGCTCCCTTCTAAAGGGGAATTTCTATTCTCCAACCAGATAAAAAAAAAACTGATGTCGGTGCCTGAGGGTCCTTTCTTATGCAAAAATCAATGGTAGAAACCGGAATACGATACCAGTCTTCGTTTCGGAGTTACAAGGTGATCTTCGGAAATGGCAATTCTTGATAAGTAGCTAAAATTTTTTTTGCAAAAATTGTATATTCTCATGAAAATAACTGCAAAGCATTGAGTTTGTGATAATAATCATTCTTGAGACACTGGAATCGGCCTTCCATTCTCTTGTTCAAGAATTTAACTTGTTATTTTCGAAGGAAAAGTTTAATTTCGAAACTATAGGACAAACACAATGCTTCGGGAATAGTTTTATGAAAACAAAGATTTGTTGATAAAAAATGAGTTTCAGATGATTTTCGAAAAGTCATATTCTCAAAAAACACCTTGACTCTGAAACGAAGATAGAAATCGATCTGCAGTTTAACCATTGAGTTTGTCATGTGAATTGATCAACAGGCACCAACATCAGTTTTGTTTCATACATCTAGTATGGGAATTGAATTTTCTCCTTAAAAGTGTCCAATTTGGCCCACCCTGTAAAGTGTTTATCATTTTTGATGATGATGATAATGATCCACCACGACCGCAGAAATTTTTCTGATGGCCTAAGAAGGTGTTTGGGATCACACGTTAAAAGATAATACCCCTGTCTTTTTTTATCGCTTGGAGCGCACGAAAGGGAATCCCTATAATGTTCAAAGAATATCGTGCGTTCCTAGGGAGGATAGGGACAGGAGGTAGGAATTGGATTTTTTTTTAACTTCTGGAGATAATATGTTGTTGGGAGTACTTCCACAGGCAATGGATTCCAGAGCCTAGCCGTTCTATGGATGAAGGAGTCTTGATAAAGTGCTGTTCGACATCTTTCGACGTTGACAACGAAAGAATGTGCTGACTGGGCTTGTCTAGTTCGTCTGATTGGTATTGCTAGTGGAAGGATGATAGCAGAGATTTCCGAAGAACATTTCCCGTGGAAGTATCGATAGAAAAATGAAAGGTCGCCGACCTTTCTACCGTGTTCCAATGATGTCAAAGAGTGAGTGAGTGTGGCGTCACCCACCAGGCGAATGGCTCTTCTCTGGATGGAATCTAAGAGCCCCATATGTGGGAACAGTATTCTGGAACAGGCCGTTTCTGCGCTTTGTAGATCATGAGAAGCTGTTGAGGTGTGAAGTAGCTTTTCGCACGAAACAATGAATCCGAGTTTTTGTGAAGCAGCTTTTGCGATGGATCTGTCATGATTATGCCATGAAAGAGTGTTGCTGATGGAAATACCGAGCATAGATATGGTGGGCTTGGTGAGGATGGTGGAGCCAGACATCACAATATCGGGCATACTGAGTTCTGCCTTCCTAGAGAAAGTACAGGCTTGAGTTTTGGTGGCGTTGAATTCAACTAGGTTGTTGGTTCCCCAGGCTGTGATTTCAGCAAGATCTTCATTGACAGCATTGACCTGCCTGCGCCGTGAGTTCTCAGTTTCCGGGGAAGAAATGGGAATTCTGGAAGAGAACGCGGTATGGAGGGTACTATCATCTGCAAAGCTGTGGATGGAGCAAGTTGTTACTCCCAACAGATCATTGATTTGAGAAAGGAATAATGAAAAAAATGAACCTTGTGGAACGCCGGAATTGATGCCAATGGTATCAGACGATACACCGTCCACCACCACGTGAAGCGATCTACCTGAGAGAAAACTCGATAAGAGAAGGCATAGCCGAGGTGGTAAGCCGTATGATGGTAGTTTGTGGAGGAGTCCTTCGTTCCAAACACGGTAGAATGCTTTAAATATGTCCAACGCGACAGCTAGAGATTCCCCGTGTTTTTTAATGAAGCTTGCCATAAATGGGTGACGTAGGTAAGTAGATCTCCAGTAGATCTTCGGTGGCGAAAGCCGTATTGTCTATCATTGATGATTCCTGAGCTCCCAGATATTTGATAAGCTCAATATTGATGACTTTCTCCATCTCTTTGGAGATTACTGATAACAGGGCAATGGGCCTGTAGTTGTTGGGCAGGTTCTTGTTCCCTTCTTTGGGGATTGGTTGGACTCTAGTTGTCTTCCAGCATGATGAAAAAATACCCGACCTGTACGAGACGGTCAACAACTAATTGCAGAGAATCGGTGTCAATTTTGGTGCACATTCTTTGAGGATAATAATAATAATAATAATAACCTTTATTCAACAAAATATATGAATAATGAATATAATAATAATAATGATATGATAATAATAAATAAATATATAATTAGTGAATGAATAAAGCTGTTGAGCGATAAGTGCCATCGCACTTGTTTCGCAGAAAATGTTCATGAAAATATCCATGAGAAATTGGCAATTAAAATTAAAATACGTTTCATTACAACTTAAAATAGCGATAATTAAAAGTACCTAACTAAGGACATAAACAAACAATCAAGAGACAAAAACTTCAGAAATACTAGAATCGATACTATAAATATTTATAATACTGTGCCTACTATACTACTATGATATGATAGCATTAATGATAGAATGATAGAATGATAGATAATGGGTAGAATTCCTTGCTCGCACAAGTCTCTTGAAGACTTCTGATGGTTGCTCGTGAGGGGGCTACCGAATGATGGATATGAACAATTTTAGAACAATTTAGATCAATGATGTTGACCGTTTTCTCAAATCTTCGACAAGGAGGGGCTACTGGGGACACAATCAATAACCAAAATATAAATAATCATCAGTGACATACCGATATTTACGCAAAATAATCTGCAGTTCTTGAGAATCATTCCCTGCTTGCTGCTTCAATTTCACCCATGAGATTGTTCCAAAACTTCTCGCGTTCGGCTCAAAAGTTTTGTCTCTTGGAGAAATCATTAGGCATCAAGCTGACGCATCAATCGCCGAATATTTTTGGAAATACTATCACTTTTGGTATTACATAAATGATAATTAGATAAATATACTTGAATAACAGCATTGGAAATCATGAGACATATATTTATTCATGTAATGTTCAATTACCTTGTATATAATTCGAAGATAATATCTCTGACTGGATCGATTTTTGGACATATCCTTCTGTCAATCGGATAAGAGACGAAGCTGAGATTTTCCACTTTGAAAATGAAGGGACCTGAAATAGTATAATTATGATAATATGACGATTTTTGCTCGGATTTTTATGAAAAAATGTACAGAGTACCTATCTATTTCAATAAAACTATAGGGTTGCTATGATATATTATACAGGATGACCCAGATTAACGTTCATACACTTCAAGAGGTAATTCGAAATATAAAAATGAGAAAACAAATTATCCATCAATATGTGCTCAAAAATACTTCCTAAGAAGTCTACAGCCCTTTAAAGGTATAACACTTTATATACCGGGAGACACAGGGTATCGAACCACTGTGAATTCTGCATTCGTGAACAGTTTATTCGGGAATTCGTTATAGTTATATACATATAAGCAACTTTCTCGGATTTTATGACAAACCAATATGGCGGACTTGCGGTTTTTACGGAAATGACAGCATATTCTAGATCGACAGGTCAAGACAAGTGCAATATCATTTTTTCGAAAAAGTTGAGATCAAAATTGCTATTTCATTTTACCACGTGGATAAATGAGATGTGGTCAAAGCTATTCACAAAAAATTCCACATAATAGACAATCAGAATTTTTTCTCAATTATTATTTTTTTGTCAACGATGAATCATATCAGTCACATCACGTTCTGGAGAAGAAATCATTTTTTTCTGATGGAATCCCTATGTCTCTTTGGAACATATATTAGGAGACGAAAATACATTCATTATCATTTTCGCATTTCGGTGCAGTAACAAATTGTGTACGTTCAGAAATCAACAAATAGTTACATGAATTTCCTTGCAGTTCGAATAATTTTTCAAGTAACTAAGCTGTGGAAAACAACATTTCCGAATCTTGTCATAAGATTGCTCTTGTTTTGACCTGTTGAATTTGGATATGTGGAGATATACAGGGTGTTCTATCCCAAAAAACGAAGATGCTGGCATTTCCAGAAATAACTTCAGCACAAGAATGATTTTATTGTTTTTGAATCTGAGTAAATATGTCATTGAACTCAATAAAATTCATTTTATACCAGCTTCAGCTATTATACTCTATTATTTTCAAATCGAAATATTCCGAAAACAAAACATAGTATCGTGTTTCACCAAGAGTACCTTTTTGGTGTGAAATTAAATAGTGTTCAAGTTCATATCATATTCGGATTGAAAAATCTGACCTCAAAAATGTTATGTTCTAAACTACTTGGTACGAACCGTGTAACTAGCGCCCTCTGAGAATCAGATATAAAAACAAATTCATGCGATGTGTCAGATTTCAAGAAACATCCATACAAAATTCCATTACAATGTTGCCAGTAGTTTTGACATAATCGTCAAAAATGTGTGAAAAAATCATTTTTTCAACACCTTTTATCATGAAAACGGATGCCGTTACTACAATGTTTTCACTGAGCAAACCCAACTCATTTTGCAGTAAGGGGTTCAGGTTTTTTTGAAACACCCTGTATAGTAATTAACCAAGTATATAATAATGAAACATTCCCTCACCTGGTTGGGAATAAAGAAGACAAAGTCCAGTAGATAAATAAGTCAGTAGAGACATGCTGCTTTACAACTTGAATTCGACTACTCACATCATAAGTCATACTATTGAATTATACTATTTACCGGGCCTCCTTATCATTCGTACACTATACAAAATCTCCTTCGAACAAAAATATTATCAAGATCCACCATGCATAAAATAACTTTACTGCTTGTACAGGGTGAGAATGAAATCTCATTCACCTTCGTATGATGGCCATCAGATATGGTATTACTAAACTTGCATCATCAATAATGAAAATAATTGAGCTGATTATGCCAACAAGGTCTACTTACAGGTCTACGTAAGTACAAGGAAACGATTTTCAATCAACTTATTGAAATTAACAACTCATCGTGAACTTGACCTACATTATTTTTAATGCAAATGTGTGGCAAGAGTGAATTCAGAAATATAAGAATACTGCAGTCGATTGAAAACTTCTTGTGTGACAGAACATTCCGTGTGAAAGCAGGCAAAGATATCATGTAAAGCCAGCAGTGGTGTTCCACAAGGTTCCGTTCTCGGGCCATATTCGGAAACCCGCTCACACACAGTGCTTCTCTCCACTCTGATTTGGATAAAATAATCCAATGGTGCGTCGACTGGCTCATCCCCCTGAATGTTGATAAATGCTCGATTTTGCATGTCGGAAAAACAAATCTGAAACTCACGTATAGTGTATGTGGTAATCAGCTGATGTCCGGGAACTCGCAGGTTGACCTAGGTGTCACTGTAACTAGTGATTTGAGCTGGTCGGAACACAATTCTAACAACGCTAAGAAGGCAAGTAAATCACTTTATCTTCTCAAGAAAACATTCTCCAATCCTACGCCTGAATTAGCAAAGAAACTGTACACAACATATGTGAGACCCACGCTTGGATTTGCCGCACTAGTATGGTCCCCTTGGCTCGTGAGAGATATTAACCTTCTTGAAAGGATTCAAAGATCAGCGACTTGTTGGCCAAGATCGATACGAAACCTACCATACGAGGAACGTCTTGAAGAACTGAAGCTTACTTCTCTCCAAACACGTCGTCTGCTTGGCGATTTAATACAAATGTATCGCGTTACACATGACTTGTTTCCTTTTCCCGAAGGAATGGCACAAATCAGCACCGACACCCGCCTCCGAGATCATCCATACAAAATCAAGAAAGAACAATTCAGGACATTCCATAGACTCCATTTCCTATCCAACAGAGCCTTTGAGGCATGGAACAAACTGCCAATAGAAGTAGTGTGTGCACCAAATATATCTACATTCAAATCAAGAGTGGATTCGTTGTGCCTCTGAAATTCATTGACTTTTCAATCTTAGTTCTCACAAACATCCTCATTTTGTATATTGTGCTATAATAGGCTATGCCTCTGCACTTACTGTTTATAATAATAATAATAATAATAATAAAAAGTTTCAGTTCACTAAACTGAATGTTTGAAGCTGAAACTGTTCGATACTGTCGATACTGATACTGATTTCCTTGTCACTTTTGAATTTTAGTACTGATTTGTCTAACCAACAAATTCGAATGAGCTTTATGTGAAAGAGGTAAGAAGAAATGGGCTAAATATCACCATATTGTGGACCGGGTGTTCGCGATTTCCCAAACTCTCAAACATAACTTCAGGAGCCATACTATGTCATTTTTTCTCCATTAACTGTGATATTCGTCTTGTTAAAGTCCACAACTTCACAAATAATACACTTCTCTACGTCAATAGAAGTTTTGATTTCGTCTGGCGAACATTTGCTAGTATCATTGTTAGTTTACCTTTTAACAAATATTCCCTATGAATCCTGTATCATACGGTTCAGAATAATTGGTAATATCTATAAAACTCCCATTCCCAGTATGATGGGTTGAGGAGAAAAAGATGGAGGTCACAAAATAGAGTTTTTGAGCAAATCGATTTCTTGTGTTCAGAAACTTGATTGGAGTGAGAGTTGCAAAGCAACTGAACACTCAATATTTGCAGGTTCAATCTAAAACACGAGCGACATGATCTCAATATTATTATTATTATCATTAATATATAGAAAGAAAAAAACGGACAGCCAGTGACGGACATTAATTGATGTGTACATTTTTTTTTTCTGTGAACGCCACGACACTCATTTTTCCCCTGATGATACTGCGGAATTTAAATTTGCTCTAGTACCACAGTCTCATCTCTCCTACTCGGTTCGAATGGTGCATAATATAAGGTAGGTACACGCCATAATCTTTTTTTTTTTTGAAATTCATCATTTTTCCCCTGTGCCCTTCATATGTGATTATCGTTATTTTTTGGCTAGGCAAATCAGTACCCACATATTTTCACGAGACTCTATTAGTCCAAGAATTATTATATCTCGTATCATATTATGTTTTCCAATCATTCACATTCCGAAAACCATTTGCTGTTACCTATTTCATATCTTGACAATAATCCATGAATCCTAATAATTTTCTTGTTTATAACTGTCATCTATGGTATTTCCTCATATCAACCTATACAGTGCGTTCATAGTGGAAACGCTCCATTATCTTACGATATAATTATTTTCAGAGGTATAGCTCGGACAGGTCGATTTTGTATTTCAGTCTTCCATCTTTTTTTACAAAAAAATAATTTTTCCCCCCACCACCTTACAAGATATGACGTCATCGATATTTTTTTTTTTATTAAAAGGGTATATTTTTATATCAAAAATTGAAAGCCCATATTTTTCTGAGTTCAATCATACCACATACGTCATATCTTACACTTCAAGTTACAGTATACTGAGTATAAAAGAAACCAGTGTTCATATTTCTCAACATTCATTTAATTATTTATTTGCAATGAAAATATCATAAGAAGTAGTGGAAATAAACAAATAACAAATCTACTTCATTTTCACCATTTTGAAAAAAAGATGGAAGACTGAAATACAAAATCGACCTGTCTGAGCTTTACCTCTGAAAATAATTATATCGTAAGATAATGGAGCGTTTCCACACTTTTTGCACGCACTGTATATTATTATGTACAGTGGGACCCACTTCTCAAGGAAACACCCCTGTATCTCACGAAATCATTGGGTAAGGATCCTGAAATTTGCTGACGCGAGAGATATACCAAAAATGCACTCTATGACCAAGTGGGGTCATCTTCAGTGATATACACTGTTCGCCAACAGCCATGGAACCACCCCAATTTCCGGAAAATGATATTAGGAGTCAGAAGAGGTTGAAAATCACTTCGGATTCGGAATCAGGACGCCCATTTAGTGAATTGTTGTATTCATATTTTTCCTAGAAAATTTTCAGTTAGGATGAATCAAATACTGTCTCACTTCTCATATGGAAGCATCTCCGTATCACACGTAATTATTCAGGTAGAGTTTTGAAATTTCCAGGAAAAAGGAAAAGTCCAAAGATAAAGTCAATTACGTAAGATACGGGCTTCCGTGAAAAGTGTGACAAAATTTGATTTTCCAAAACTGAAAATTTCCTAGAAACAATATGAATAGTCAGTGAATTGGGTGTCCTGATTCCGAATCTGAAGTGATTTCCGACCTATAGTGACTCCTGATATCATTTTCCGGAAATTGGGGTGGTTCCATGGCTGTTGGCGAGCAGTGTATATCACTGGGGATGACCCTACTTGGTCATAGAGTGCATTTTCGGTATATCTCTCGCTCCAGCAAATTTGAGGATCCTTACTCAACGATTACGTGAGATACAGGGGTGTTTCCATTAGAAGTGGGTCACACTGTAGTTACACGAACAATAAAATAGAACATTGTTATCGAACAAAACATCTGGTTGTGCTTATTCATTAGCCATATAATTTTTTGAGCGTGTATAGTAATGAATAGAAACCAATAACGAGTAGGTATTGAGATTAACAAGTATTGATGATATGAAATGGAAATTTCGCCATTGTTTAATGATATTTCCAATCTTCATTGCTTTAATATCTCAATGTCGCTCATATCAAATCAACTTTTGAAGAATATATCGTTTATTCGGGTTCTCTTCATTGCATGAAAGTATAGATAGGCATTCAACATAATATTTACTATACTTGATGGATATCGGTAGTGAATATGAAAATCTTATTTTCACAATTTTTCTATACTATCAACACTACAGGTTTTGCTACCCTGTAGCTTCATCAAGTGGAATACATACTCGTACAATGAATCAACCTGACAAACAAAACTCTCAAGCATAATATATTCACATGATGTTTTCATCTTGGAAATATGTGTTCAAGTTGTTGAAGTCCTGCTTTAAAAAACTGGCTCACTCAGTATATCAACTATTGAAAAAAAAAACAAATTTCGTTCCTAGTAATAACTTTCTGCATAAAATCTATCGAAACTATATATTATTCGAGTTGAGAGAAAAATATCATGAAGATAGAACAGTAACACAATAATTTCCACATTTGTTCCAAAGCTATTATGGCGGACACACAATATAACGTAAATTCAACTGCTAGATCTCATAACTAAGAGATCCAGGATGTACAGAGTTGCCCCAATTGTCAGCATGAGCGAGACAGTACTGTTTCAACCCACCAGGTCTCATCAGCCGCTCTCGGTCTGCTGACAACTGGGACAAGTCAACGCTTCGGGTTTATCACCCATGTCAAAGACGCAGGATATAACATGAAGTTCTAGTCATGTTGTAGCTATCTAGTGGCGAAGCTCTAAGGTGGGATCAAGAGATCGCGACACACACTGTATGGCGCTGCCATCTATAGTCACACGTACAAGTAAACCACTCTGCTTACAGACGGCACTACCTGACATATACTCGAGTGGATTTTTCCACCGACCGATTCAACTGCTAGATCTCATAACTAGTTATTTCATAATATAACTACATATTTTCGCTTTATCAGCATATATTGACATAACTTTGACATGTTTAGATTCCAGAACAGATATTGAACATTCCGTGCTCTACGACACAAACAATAAAACAAGTGAAATATCAAGAGAATCATCAGATGCTTGTTGAAGGTCACCCGCCGACGACAAGTATTGAAATCCTCTAGAGACTAGTGGCGAATATCCTTGTAAGTCCTTAGTGAA